TGTGTAAATAGTCTAGAAAGACAGGTAAGAGGCAAGAGACAGGTAAAAATCTAGGAGTAATTGTGAAGGGTCATAATTCCAGGCAGAGGATTTAATATTTTATCCTAGATACAATAAAGCACCAGTGAAACTTCTTAAGCAGGGGAGTAACATGTTCACACCTATCCTTTAGGAATATCCATTTGGCAGCAGTATAGAGGATGGTTTGGGAGAGGGGAGAGGTTGGAGATAGGGAGTCCAATTGGGAGGCTATCGCAGCAATCTAGGTAAGAAATGAAGAGGGACTGAACTTGGGTGACAGCTGTAGGGGTGAAAAGAAGGGAAGGGAACCAGAATTTATTAAGTACCTACTGTGTGCTAGACACTATGCTAAATACTTCATAAATATGATCTCATTTGATTATCACAACCACCCTGAGAGGCAGGTGTTCTTATTATTCCCATTTCATGCCTAAGGCAACTGAGACAGACAGAAGTAACTTGCCCAGGGTCCCAAAGTTAATATGTGTTTGAGGCCTTTCTGTCTCTAGGTCCAGCACTCTCTCCAAAGTGCTACCTAGCTGTTTCTAAAGAAGAGAATGGACGTGGGAGATGTTGTGGAGTAAGAATCCACAGGACTTTGCAACTGACTGTATAAGAGGATGAGGAAGAGTAAAGAGTTGAGGATGACTGCTAGGTTGTCAACCTGGGTAACTGAAAGAATGGTAGGACCTTCAACAGAAATGGGGAATTTAGGAAAAGTCATGAGTGTGGCAGAGAGGATAACGAGTACTGTTTGGGCTATGTTGAGTTGGAAATGTCTATGGGATGTCCAGGTAGATAAGATATTAGTGAATGGGGTGGGATTGGAAATTAGGAGAGAGATCATAGACTCATCGATTCAGATCTGGAAGGAACCTTAGAAGTCACCTCTTTAAACTGTTTCATTTCACAAATGAGGTGCTGAGGCCCAGAGATTTTAAGTGACTTGCCCAGGATCATAGATAGTAGGTTCCAGGTTCTCAGACTCTAAATCCAGTATTCTTATCCACTATATATTTAGGTTTGGGAGTCATGAGTATGGAGAGGATAATTAAACCCATAGGATCTGATAAGATCACTTGGAGAAACCAAGATAGAACCTTTCAAGGTTATCATTAAAAGGGGGCGGGACATGGATAATGATCCAGCAAAGAAGAATGAAGAGAATAGTCGGCCAGATTGGAGGAGAACCAGGAAGTGTATCAGAAAACCCAGGGAGAAAAGATTATTTATAAAAAGAAAATGAACAGCCATCTCAAAAGCTGCCTAAAGGTAAAAAAGGATGAGACTTGAGAATGCCCATTACTGGCTTTGGGGACAAAATATGGAATACAAATGTAATGGAATGTACTTTGGCCATAAAAAAAAATTATGAAAGAGTTTCAGAGAAACCTGGGAAGACGCATATGTATTAACAGAGTAAAATGAGAAGAGCTAGGAGAACAATTTATACAACGGCAATAGTATAAAGACAAACAATTTTTAAAAACTCATTAAGAACTCTGATCAATGCAATGAACAATCATGATTCCAGAGGACAGGATAATAAAGAATTGAGAGTTGATGAGCTAAATGTACATTTTTGTACATAACCAAAGTGGAAATTTGTTTTGCTTTGTATATTTGTTTAAAAAGGGCTTGGAATTACTTTTTTCAATAGGGATCAAGGGTTGGTATTGATAAATAAAATAAATGCTTATAAGTTGAAAAAAATTAACAAAAAATAGAAAAAATCTTTGGATTTAGCAGTGAGGAGATTATTGATAACCTGGATAGAGAGCAGTTTCAATTGAGTTTGGGGATCACAAACCAAATTACAAACTGAGTGGGAGGTAAGGAAATATAGGTGAATAGTGTACCAGAACTTCTTAAACTGTGGGTCACAACCCCATATGGAGTCATAAAAATTTGGCAATAGTGAAAGTTTTCTGAATGCACAATGACAAAAATTAATTCAAAATCAAACACGGAATGTATCCAGGGTATTTTTGGCAGCACTTGCCTGTACTGCATCAGGCAGCTTCACTGTAGCCTTGGTTCTGAACACTCAAGCATGCACACTTCACATTCATGCCATCAGGCCACAAGACACCAAAAATTGCTGCAGAAACATGAAAAAGTTTAAGAAGCCCTGGTGTAGACAGCTGTTTCTAAAAGTTTGACAGTGGAAGAAGAGGAGGATAAGGTGATTGCTTGAGTGAATGCAGGGTCAAGTGATGGATTTTTTTAAGTATAAGGGAGATTTGTAGGCAAATAGGGAAAGAAGAACTAGATAAAGAAAAATTGAAGCTTATAAGAGAGAGTAGGATTAAAGGGGCAGAGGAGATCGGAGAGGATGGGATCAAGGGAATAGGTAGATTGGTTGAATTTGACAAGAAGGGCTGCTTCCTCCTCTGAGACTGAAGCAAAGGATGAGTGTGGTGGAAAGATGTTAAATGTGCTCAGAGTGTAGACAGGGGGATAAAAGGGAGCTCCTGTCAGATGACTTATATGTTCTCCATAAAGTGAGATGAAATCTTTTGCTGAGAAGGAGGAAGAGAGGAGGCACCTCGAGGAGAAAAGAGACATTTCTGAATCGATGCCTGTGAGAAGTGTGCTAGGGAAAATAGAAAGTATGGCGCCTGCAGTGCAGTAGGGAGGGCCCAACTGAATTAGATTGCATTAATTAAGATCTAGTGGATCCAGCTATTGTGGTTTTGTGATTTGTGCCAGCAGAGTTTAGCAGCACACCAGTAGGAGCAGAGAAGACAGATACTGGGGGGCAACCGTGAGTTGGACTTTAGAAAGGAATGGATGTAAAATAAAAGGTCAAGACTTCAAAAGTTTAAAGGGTGAAGAAGACTATAGAACTTAATTGTGAAGATGTCCAAGGGCATCCTACTAGAGAACTGAGCTCAAATCTAGCCTCATACACATTTGCTAAATGATCTTGAGCAAGTCATTCAACCTCCCTGAATGGTTGATTTAGCCAATCTTAGGTAACTCCTTAGGACTTATCTATTAAATCATTATCATGTTTATTCTGCTTTGGTGGAGGGAAATCCCCAATATTCTCTACTTGTGAAAATGGTCATAGAATAGTTTCTGCCATAAAGACTATAGCTATAGTTCTTCTCTTTTAAAGATGCAAAGGAAATAAAATCTTGGAATACTGGCAATTTAATTGTCATTCTGGATGGACTAATACCTGACATGGCAAAAGTACAAATAAAGGGAAGTACAGATAAAAAGAGGATAAAAAGAACCTCTCTCCTGAAAAGTGTTTTAACTCTTATGAAGAAACATTATAAAGGGAATATTTGAAAGGCTTGTCCTGGTATCCTGTGACAGCTAAATGGTGGGACTGTATTTCCAGAACTGAAAAGTCAGCATATGCAGTATATATAGTGATGATTAATGGTGATTTGGGTTGTGAACTCAGCTCAGACATTGTAATTATTCATTACATAAAGGTAGTTAAATTGTTAATCATTCACATAGCCAATAATCTTGAAAATTAAACCCAAAAAGAGGCTTGATATACGTGTGTATATATGTATATATACATATATGTACATATATATTTACACATATGTATATATACAGAGCGAGAGAGAAATGGAAAGAAATTAATGAAAGTTTATGGGACATAACCCCCATTGCCTTCAAAATTAAAAAAAACCACGGAACAGTTTACGGGAAAAGAAGTTTTTCCGATTTAATAAAGAATATGTTTAAGGTGAAGTTCAGAGCTAATGTGAGGTATTGAAATTTTAGTAATTAATAAGAAATTATCAAGAACATACCTTGTGATTTTCTTAGAACTAAGTATAAGAATGAATTTGAAAATGGACTAGTAACAGGTAGAGAGAGGTTGATTGTTATTAGGTATATGTGAGGGAGTTGATCCCAAACTCCCATTATACTTGTATACCTGAATCTAAAAATATGTTAATCCTTATGTAGAGAGTATTTTAAAACTTTTGTTTTTTTTTTTTCAATTACCGTTGATTTTGTTGCTCTCTTCTCTCATCACCCTTTGGAAAGGAAGAAAGGGAGAAAAAAAAGGGAGAGAGAGGGACCAAAATCTTATAACAAATATCTTAATCAAACAAATTCCTGCATTGGCCATGTCCAAAAAAAAAGTATACAAATGTATGTCACATACTGCATCTTAAAGTCACAATTCTCTTATTAAGAGGTGGGTAGTATGCCCTCTGAAATGGTTGCTCATTGCATTGATCAGCATTCTTAAGTCTTTCAAAGTTATTTTTACAATGTTGGTACTGTATAAATTGTTCTCCTGGTCCTGTAAGACATATGTTAAATGAATTGTCCAATCATTTCTGCTATATGCAGCAAATATTAAGATGTAGCAAGAGAATTCTCTAGACCACTTGAATGTATTTGGCAAAGTAGTGTTAATTTCCCTGTACTGTGTGTTTGGTAGCACATGGGAGTAATTTAGAAAAATTGTTCAAGCTGAAAAGTTGGCATAATTTTTCTTGAGCAAAACTAAACTGCTTGTTATAATTGGGTAAGTTAGTTTTATTATAATGGAATATGCATCAAGCCATAAAGGCAGTAGTAAAAGGAATGATTAGAAAAAAAGACAGAATTATAATAAATAGTGTGGGTCATAAATAAATGAGTTTACCACATAGAGTGGTGAAAAGAATGTTTGACTAGAGTTTTTGTGAAATGTTTTCATGAAACCACAGAAGACTGATATACTCAGGAATTTTGTAAAAACTGATTTATTTTTCTATGAATACATTGATAACCCTTACATAAGATGCATGGAGATAAATACTAAATATTTAAAATGTATATCTTAAAAATCCACTAAATATATTGTACAACAAAATGTCCACTCACTCATATGTAATTTTACTAATAATTCTAGAGTCATTTTTATTTTTACGAGACCAAGCCAAAAAAAGTATTTTTGATAAAAACCAAAAAATTTTAAAATAGACAAGTAATGGTCAGGGTTGTCCTTTTTTTTTTTTGACATTCCCTAAATGGTTTCATGGTATTAGAGTTGCTTAATTATTCCTTACCTCTCATGAATTATTTTAGTCACTGTACTTTCCCCCTTCAACAATTTAGTCATCAAAAGCCAATCTTGACCTTCCTCTTGGACCTTGCTTCTTGCTTCCATTTTCCATTTTACATAATATCATTTGACCTATTTTTCCTTTACTCATCTTGAACTTTATTCCTTTTCCTCTCCCAATTGCTATACCTTCCTTTCTTACTTTATACCTAGGTCTATGTAGCTAGTGAGACCTTAAATTCTGTCTCAGTTTTTTCATCTGTAAAAAACTGAGTGTGGGGCAGGTAAGGGAAACAAAGTATATGCAGTTTGAAATGGTGATTATACCAATGATGAATTGTTTTTGGTTTTTTTTTTCCACCATAGGTGTATATATTATACTAGTGGACGAAATCATACTAAATCTTATTGTCCACACATTTGTAAAATGTATTTCTCAATATTGATTAAAGATATGGATTACATTAAATTCATTTAACCATGTTTGAGGAGAACAAGAATTGAATCCCCATTATTTCATGGGTTCAGTTTTCATGTCAGGATGATGGTCAATATAATACTCCCTTCATACATTTTTTTACTTCAAATAAAGTGCACGGATTTTAAAACAATATGGAAAGTTTATAACTTCATGTCATGCCTCAAATAACATATAACATATCAGAATGTTAGACTAAACCCCAAAAGCAAGTTGACTGATATCTTTGGAAGACTGAAGAGTAAACGCTTAGTATAAAGTAATAAGCAAATAACCCAAGTCCAATATTGATCATGCGTTGCTTGATGATGCTTGGTATAATAATGAAGGAATTACATTGCTTTCATCCCAAATGGGGTTGTGGCTCCTGCTGAAGTGATCATAGTAAGCAAATACTTAAAGAATCTATAATTTCTTTAGCATAGGGAATCTCCCTAGTATTAATATTGGAACTCCATCAACATAAAATTTAACCCTCTTAGTAGAAAACTCCTAGGATGCTGCCTAAGGTACAAAAAGTCCTTTTGTCCAGAGTTATACAGCTAATAGTTGACAGTTAGCATCGGATTCCAGGTCTTTTTGATCCCAAATGCAACATTTTACCATGCTTCCTTGAGAGTAAATATAGTAAATGAAGGAATACCTGCAACGTGCTCTAGAATAGCAACTGTAATTTGGAGGGCTTGCACGTTGTCTAAATATTCTTAAATTTAACCATTTATTGTCCAGTCTTATGATGTACTCCTTATGTTTCTCAAAATGTCCTACTCAACAATTAGAAGATCCATTCTGGTCGATGGTCACGGCAATGTATGATTAGTAATTTCAGGAGCCCAACTAGGATATGTATGGAGGTCAAACATGGGTACCATCCATGTGAAGATGCCAAGCATCACTACAGCAACACCTACAATATTAACGCCCAAACCAGCTTTAACCTTAAACAAAAATAAAATATAAAAGTTAATTCCTTGAAAGGTAAACCAAGATGATTTGAGTATCATTTTATGATTTTCTATATTGAGTGTGCACAGCCTTGAGGAGAAATGAGTCACTGTTCTTCAAATAAAAGACAGTCTCTTCCTCAGTGATACAGGATGTTCTAATCTGTTCTAAAGAAATCATCATGGAGTTGGAAGTGACCTGGAAATGATATCTGGCACTTTAGCTAAGTCATCTCTGAACCTTTCTTAAAGAAATTCAACAATCTTTCTTGGTAACTCATTCTAATGTTTTAGAGCTATTTCTATTAAGAATTTTTTCTTTTCCTTTAATATCCACATTTATAGTAAGTGTTTGTGGATTTTTGTTAATATATTTAATGGGATATAATTTAAAGACATAGCCAACCAAAGCTATGATATAATTAACTGTAATATAACTTGGTTCTATAGTATTTGATAAATGTTATTTAGGGAAAGATGGGGCTTCAATGTCCCTTTCTCCAGGCTTAGTAATGCCAATCCCATTTATCTTTTTAAATGACAGTTATATTTTTAATCTTTACATCATCTTTAAAACTTCACTAAAATGTTTATTTAGTGTCTCAAACCAGACATAGTAGGAATGTAACTATTATTTACTATTCAAACTTGCATCCCTCCCAAATGTCCCTACACATAATGCTCATTTTCAAAAATGTATAGGAGTAATATAGATCAAGGGCCAGCAAATTACTATGGAAGACTGTTTTTTACATTTCTTCAGCTGAGAATGGTTTTTCCATCTTTAAATACAACTTTAAAATACAAAATCCATTGAAACAAAGGGCTGGCCTGATTTGATCCTTGGATAATATTCTGTTGACCTCTGATATAGATGGTAATAAAATGGCTCTTTTACATTTGTGGTCCATTATGACATCTACATCAATTTATGGTACATAGGTACATAAGATATTTCCTGAATTGTACACCTGCAAATTTTCTTGTTTTTTTAAGCATAAAACTTTTTTTTTTAATGTTAGGCCATTCTGTCTTTTGCAAAATATGTACCTATTTCCTTTATAATCATTCATTGTTATTGGCCTAAGTGTCTGGATCATTGTGCCAACTCTTAGAATGAGAGCTTCAAGAGGCAAGAAAAATATTCTTCATTTTATTTACTCTGAAAACATGCAGAGCATCCGTTAATGAATATCGATTAACAGTATATATCCTTTACTTTTAAAAGTTCTCCATTTTTAAAAATTTAAGTGTCATTCCAGGTTTTATCAGCCATTCAGAGGATGTATCTAATACCTAATCAATAAATTCTATTCCAAATTCTATGAAATCATTTAAAATATTAAATAGCTGTAACTTGAGGTCTGAGGACTCAATAAAATAAGCTCTTCTCAGGCCATCACCTTTTAAAAAAAACAATCTAGTAGTTTTATCAACTAATAATGGAATAGGAATCACATTTCCCCTCCCCCCAAAAAAGAGAGAAATATAAACATCCCACTTGTAAGTCAAGATCTTATTCTTTCTAATCACTTACCATGTCAATGACTTTCAGATGGCCATAGGAAAAGATAATAGCATTAGGTGGATTTGAAATTGGTAAGAGGAATGCAAATGAAGTACTTAGAGTAGAAGGTATCAAAATATAGAGGGGGTTCACATGAATAGCTTCAGCCTATTGAATAAGAAAAATGAAGGGATATAAAGGACATATCTGAGACAAAACAATGAAGCAAAAAACTAAAATTAATAAATTCACCAAAATAATCTCTCCTGAAAGCAGGTTAAATATATATTTATAAAATAGTAAATGTACATTTTGTAGTTACACCTTTAAAAAATAAAAAAAAAAGATTTAATCTGTACAGAAGGTTCCTTCCTTTCTCAGTAAGAGTTTGGCCAATGCAAAAATAATTTCCCATCACATTTTGCTTAGTTTTTCATCCTTTTCTAGATCAGTGAGTCATTTTCTAACTTTTTCGGAAAATGGACTACTTGGGCACAGGACACAACTACTCTTCTTTGTCACTACAAAAAAAAATGATCACACAGTTGTGCCCCTTTGATGAGACAACATAGCAGTATCTCTTTGAATCTTGGAGGTGATGTTGTTCACTTGTTTCAGTTGTGTCTGACTCTCTGTGACCCCGTTTGGAGTTTTCTTGGCAAAGATAGTAGAGTGATTTGCCATTTCTTCTCTGGCTCATTTTGCAAATGAGGAAATTGAGGCAAACAGGGTTAAGTGACTTGCCTAGGGTCACACAGCTAGTAAGGCCAGATTTAAACTCAGAAAGATGAGTCTTCTTGACTCTAGGCCCAGGACTCTATCCACTGCACCACCTAGCTGCCCCATCATAACAATGAGATTATTTCAAATCAGAAACCAAAGTTGAGGTCACTTTCTAATTCATAAATAGGATGTATTACCAAAAGTTTTCCAGTCATTTGTTTCAAATTTAGACTACATTTTCCCTCAGCAATAGTGTTTTAAACGGTCATTTGGTTTATTGCACACACTGCTCCCCTCATTAAAAACCTATTTAACTCATTATGTACATTTTATTTGTATTGGTAATATTTTATTGGTAACCAGAACAAATTACTTAATAATTAATAAATTATTAATAAATTTTATTAATTTTAAATTTAATTTAAATTTTATTAATATTTTCCTATGGAAAAAAATGGGAGTAGAAACCTTACTGGGCTTCAGTTTCCTTATTTGTATAATGTGGGGATTGAACTGGATATTCTATGACATTCCTTACACATCTGAATCTGGTGATTATTTTTTAATCTCACCTCCCACCAATGTGTGGGAGTAGGGAGAAAGAAAGGTATAAAGATTAAATTCAATTAAATAAATCTTTAGTTAATGCCTACTATATGCAGGGTGCCAGTAACTTGTTCACTATACTTCCGTATCTTAATAAAGGAATGCATATTTTTAAATGAGTCATTCCTCAACTGTTCTAAACAAATGACAGTGGTCTCCTCCTCCCCCCATCCAATACTGATGAAGGCTCCAGGCCATGGCTTCCCTTATTTGTAAGGACAAGTGTTTGTAAGTCAAATGTTCATACACCAGGGACTGACTATAGAAGAATTGTCATGGCAATATATTTACCCATATTATTTTGTTCCCCATGTAACTCTCCCCTCCAGTTCTGAGAAGAAAATCAATAAAACTATTTTACTCACATAATTTTTCCCTGATTTGCATAGTAACATAGCAGCTAGCAGACACTGGTGGGCAGTTTTAAGAATACCAATCAGTTTTCACAACTAGAGGAAAAGAACTGCCCATGTAAAATGCTGTAACTCACTTGTCACACTAGGAAACATGTTTCACATAAAAATGAGTGCACTTTGTGCTAGACAAAGGGTTAAGTGAAAGTAAGTTGTACCTAGCTACATGTTGGGGAAGAAATGAGGAAGGGCAAGTGAGCATCTCACATCTGTTCCTAAGGTATTCACCCTTTCTTTCTTATGCCTTTCTTCCTTGTTTCTTTTCATCTTCCTATCATCCTTAGTATCTCCTCTGGACCAGCAGAAAACTCCACTGTTTTCTCTGGATCAAAGGTGCTAAAACTCTAAACACAAAATATATGCTCCTTTCATTTGTCAATCACTTTATATTCTCCTTCAGAGAAGAAGGGAGGGAGAGAGAAATGTGGATTAAGGTACATTTAAGTGAGAGATTTTAGTGTTAGATCTAAATTCCAATTAACCTAGTCACTGATTGCTAGATAACTTTTAGACTCTGATAAAAGCTCATGAAACCTCAAAGATTAAGATTTCTTATCGTAGCAATAAAACTAAAAACCAGGTATTCCCATAATCTCCCCCACTTCTTGTGGTGTACATCAAAATAACAGAGCATTATGTTATATGTGTGTGTTATATTAAACTACACATGTGTAATTTAGCAAATATATAGCATGTTTACATATGTGATAAATATATAATATGTTTAATAGATAAAAATAGTGTCATTACTGCTAAAGACTAGTGGACAGATCACCCAGAGTATCTAAGAGTACCACAATGGTTCCATACTATGAATTAATAAATGAATGAACCAGTGAAGGAACAAAAGAAAAAACATTTATAAAGGACTTACCATGTACCAACCTCTATAGTAAGCACTGAATAAAGATAAAAATTATGAAGACATACCAGCCTTCAAGGAACTTACATTCTAATATGTTGAAACAAAACACATGGGAGAGTAGTAACTAGGGAAGGGCATTTTGATTCAGAAACTTACAGGGATGTTGAACGGAGGCACAGGAGAGTGGACTGGCATCCACTTTCCAGTAGCAATGGCTACTTGCTTTGATTATATTCTTTTCTTTCACAAGGTCTTTCAATGTAAATCAAATACTCACCAATGGTGCTAGGATAGGTAGGAGAAGGGTGATGGTAGCTGGATTGCTGACTACTTCTGTTAAAGAAGTGACAAGCAAAGAAGATATAAGGATGATTAACCAAGTTGGTAATGAGCCCAGAGGTTTTAGTTGTTGGCCAATCCACAGAGATAATCCCGATTGCTACAAAACAAATAAAATTGTATTGTTAATATTTAGTCCTTATTAATAATTCCTCTCTATACATCCTTAGGAACTTACTGTCTATAAAAATAAGTCTATTTTTCCTATCTTGTAGTAACCTCCCAGAACACCTAGATCTGTGGAATAACCATAGTTCTCTGTGGTTTGAACCTTCTGAAGGAGAAAAAGGACAACTCATTGACTCTTATTCTAACTGTACCAGTAGGTTTGATTTTTTGTTTGTTTGTTTGTAAAAATAAGTCAGTTTGTGGAAGCAGTTTATGGAAGTAGATTTTGGATGCTACCCCAGACTATGGAAGATTAGGTTAAAGGAAGCAAAAGGGTAATAAAAAAGTTTCAAAAGCCATATAGTGGCAGTGGGTATTGAGGAGTGCCCATAGAGGCTGCTCTGGTCCAATACCAGGGCTGTGTAAGTAGAGAAATAATTATAATTTGGGAGGCCCTCTCTTAGAATCTGCAATCATATAAATTTCTTTTGGAAAGATTACATGGGCAAATTTCCTTCAAAGCTTGGTAAAAGGGCTATCCTAGAAGTGTGGAAATTTGGTTCTATCTTGGGATTCTTATACCAAACTAGAATCTCTAAGTCTGGCCAAGAGACAAAGTAAAGCTCACGAACCCATCCAGTCCCTTAGAGTTCCTCCCAGATTGAATGTTCTAGGTCTAGGTCAAACAGTCAGCTCATATGACTAGAATATGATTGAACCAGGCTCATCTCCAGTTTAAGAAATGAGGGAAGTTCACTACATCACATTTAGGATGATACCTCAATAGCTGGAGAGAGCACTAGAGGTCATCTAATCCAACCCCCTCATTTCACAAATGAGGAAACTGAGGCCTAGACAAGTTCAGTGACACACCCACACATACAGAGGAACTTTTAGGAATTTCAAAATCCAAATATGAGGATGCTGTGGAATTGGTACCCAGAAGAAAACTGCTCCTCGGCATAGACTACAAAGCAACATTTCTAATACCTGTACAAGTAGAAACTTTTCTTCCTGCTTGATCAATATCCAGTTACTCTATAGAGAAGCTAAAAAGTAAGTGGAAATCATATTGGCCCCTTATTGATTACCATGAGAATTGAACAATAGAATCGGTATTCTTAAGGGGTTTTAATTTATCCCCGAAGTAAAATAATACCATTTTGAACTTGGCTGTATAAAATGAATTTCATAATTTTGTATGCATTTATTCATTCTATTAGAGGGCTTTCTTTGATATGAGTGAAGGCTCCCTACCTTGAAAACAAACCTGCCTCAAGAGAAGGTCTCTTTTTATATCTTTTTTTCCTATGAACTGAGTATATTTTTCCTATGCCTTCACTATACTAATATTATTTCATGGAGTGAGACTTTTAATCTCAACTGCGTTATTTCCTTTTGTCATGCTGGAACACTGTAAAATAAATGTGTTATGCTTACAGTCTGTAAAAATCCTTGAACTCTGATCTCATCTGTGTTGTATACTAGGTATGTGGCTATTGAAATCTACATCATGAAAATGACAGGATGACCTTGACTGTGGTGAAAAATTGAGTCTGTGTGCTTTCTTTCTTTCTTTTTTTGGAAAGGCACAATTTGCCCAGAATCTTCTACAAAGTTTATTACCTCACAGCCGTCAGCCAGGGCAAACCCACCACCCACAAGAATAGTTATGTCCCAGGGCATGAATGACTGGAATTCTTTCCAAGTAATCAGCGGCGAGTAATCAAAAGCAACTAGAAAAAAAAAAGAATTTGAAGTTCAAATATTGTTTGAAAAATAACCACATGACATGACACTTAAAGGCAACCTTGTTTTCATCACTGGAGGAAGTCATAACAGCTTTTATCCAACAAATATAGAAGGTTCCTCTTCTATTTATAAAGAATACTCAAAAGGAAAGGTGATTTATATTTCTAGAGTAGGGAAAGGGCTTGGATTTGGAGCATGTTGCATGAATTGCGCTTAGTTAGGAAGCTGTATTCTAAAAGGTAAAAATGGCATAAGTTGGGGAGGGACACTGAAATCCCTTGAATGTTATTTCTGAAGAAATCCAATATCACCATGTATAATTAAATTCCAAAACTATACTGTAGGGTTTGTTATGCAACATTCCAATGAGTATTCTAAGCAAAATGACCTTGCTTAGGATGCTTCACATGTTAATAGCTAATTAACATTTGTATCTAAGGTTCTACTCTCTGTGTATTTTGTACATATCTATTGATATGCATGATGTCTTTCCCATTCAAATGTAAGCTGCTTAAAGGCAGGTACTTTTTTTTGTTTTGTTTTGTTTTTGCTTTTTGCTTTTTTTCCCCAGAGCTTAGCACAGCGCCTAGTACGTAATAATGACTGAATAATGTAGGAAATGTTCTGGTCTCTTCTGAAGAATAGCGTGGAAAGAGTCAGTGCCACAAGTGTCATATTTACCAGAATTCCAGTTAAAGGAAAGCATGGAGGAAAGAAAAAATTAATGCATTCTAGTTACGAGTCATCAGATAGGACAATAAGAATGTTTAGAAAACTGTTGGCATATAACATACATCTACTCTCTGATCCCTATTGCCTCAGTTAGTGTGTCAGACACTAGCTTCACTCAGCATAAAGTGGTATGCCTATTTGTCCATATGACTATAATGGCACAGGTGATCATGTAGGTAGGCACACATTTACCTTGTAACCAACATTGCTGCATTCTGATGAATAAGGAGGAACTTCTGACCAAAGAAGAAGGAATTGGTTGCTGAAACAAATGATATGCATTTTGGGAAGAAGCATCATGTCAGAAACCAAGGTAAATAAGGAGGTTGCTCAGGGAAGAATGTGATTGTTAAATTTCATATTTTAAATTACATCCTAGATTTTAGGAGAGAAAATTTCAAAACCATGAGAGTAAGGAATACATTGGATCCCATGGTCAAAAATTCTATGGGAGAAATCAATTCAAGGGGAAAAGAACACTCTAAAGAGAATAAAATTCTAATGAAATAAACACCAATGATTCCAATGAGTCAGAAGCAGAGGGTAGGGAAGGATTGTTTAAAGAATCGATTGTACGTGTTCAGGAACCTCGATGAACAATTTAAATTTTTAAAAGAAATGTATAGATGATGGGAACAACAGTAGGAAACTGAGGGTTAATACAAAGTAGTAGCATGATCCTGTAAGCACAAAGTCATGAATGTTAAAACCCAGGAAAAAAGTCCAAAGCTTGGGCATACTAAGGAAAAAAAAAAAAATAGTTAGGGATAGGACCATGACTCAAGATAAATGGAGCAATAATAGACAATGGAGTAAATACTCAGATGAGTTGAATATAAGATATGGAAATTTAATAGAGATAAATGTAAAGTCCTGTGTTTTGGTTCAAATATCAACTGATATGAGAAATATAGGAGATAGTTCATTTGGGGAAATGGCCAAAAGAAACATCAATATGCTAACCAGAGATGTGAATTGGTCCAACCATTCTGGATATTAATTAGGGATTTAACAGAAAAAAATGACTAAACTTTTCATATCCTTTGAGTAGAGTGGTGATTCTGTGAGTGGATAGAAACAACACTAAAGATATGTCTCTTTAGAGAAGAGATTAAAAGAGAAAAGAAACTAAAGAAATGATAAAATTTGGGTATTCTTTGCAAATGTGAAGTGAGATAGAGGAATTAGAGGTGCCATTGAGATAAGATTAAGAGTACATTTTAGATTTGTTTTGTTTGTTCCCTAGGAGGAAAAACTAGGAGCAAGGGGTCAGGTGTCAAAGGGGCAGGTTTTAGCATTAGGGGAAAGTTCATAAAAGCTGGATCTCTCCAAAATGTGGAATGTGCTCAGTGGGGAGGTAGCAAATCCCCATTCACTGGAAGCTTTCCAGTGGAAGCTCATTAACTATTTGTTGGGGATACTATAAAGGGCATTACTGTCCAATGATATGGTCCCTTTCCAAGTCTGGGAGACCTTTTTCCCTACAAGAAACCTGTACCTCAAGCATTTGTAAAAAGGATCTCATCCAAAAGTACAGATGACAGGACATTGGTTCCCCTGCAACCTGTGAGAATGATAATAACCTGGTTGTGGGGATGACTACAAGTTTAATATAATCACCTAGTTAAAAAATTTCCCATGAAAGATCTACTTTTCATTTCCCAAAGATAAAAGATTCTGGATCAGAGATGAGGACTGGCCACAGCAGGGGTGGGGAACCTGTAGCCCTCTAGGTCCTCAAGTGTGCCTCTTTGACTGAATCCAAACATGAAGTGTGTGAAGAGGCCACATGGGGTCTCGAGCCCGCAGGTTTCCCACTCCTGCGCCAAAGTGTTTGAGGCTGGATTGGAGAGGCTTTTCCAATAAGGAAGCACATCTTCCTTACCAACTCCCCCCCACCCCCGGGTATTCGCTTCACTTCCCATGAGAAAGGAGCCAGTTTGGTAGCCTTTGAAAGCACAGGAAATATCTGTGAGCCTGAGAAAGAAGACACTGCACTAGCTTTTGGAGGTTCCATCAACCTGATTGGGAACACCTGACCCAAAGAATTAACTCCAAGATAACTTGCCACATGGGGGGTGAATTATGACCTCTGTTTGGTAAATTAATGTTTAACAAGGGATCTAAGAAGTGAAAAGCTAACAAAATCACCATGTTTGCCCTTCCCCCATCACCTGCCATAGCATCAGAGGAGTGAAATGTGTATATCTTTGGCCTTGGTAGGCCTGCTTCTTCCTGACTCCTCTACTTAATAGTAGATCTGAATTTCTCCTTCGTCCACAGTTCTTACAAGTACTCTGACCGGTGACTTGCTGGCCACCACCAGGATGACAAAAAGCTTTTAGACTATGCCTCAAAACTGAAATTTTCATCTCTGCTGAAGATCCCCCTGTTTATACTAGTCCTGGAGTCCTTATTACCCAACCACTCATTCAACAGATGCCTAGAGTGCACTTTTTGGCAACCTATGGCAGCCAGGGAACTACTTATTTGTAGGACTGAAATATCAAGATTAAAAAGAATTTTATACACACACACATGTATATACATATATATATGTATATATATATGTACATATATATGTGTGTGTGTGTGTGTGTGTGTGTGTGTATATATATATATATATGTATATACGTGTGTGTATGCATATATGCAATGACTGTCTTAAAAAAATACCTTTCAGTGGAACTGAACTATGAGTAATCAGTCTTGATCTCAGATAAGAGATGATGAAATGTGTCTCCCTCCTTTTAGCGAAGTGGGTGACTACTGTTTTGGAACTTTGAATGTCCTGTCAGGTGCAGCTACTGTGGAAACCAGTTTGACTTGATTGTTCTTCTTTGATGCATAGAAGGGTTCAAGTGTTCAATGTGTGTGGTAGAAAGTTGGCAGGGGAGAGAGGATTGACTGGTAGAAATTACTGATATAAAAGCAAATGCATAAATTTTTTAAAAATATTTGAGCAGTATTTGTGCACATGTAAAAATGTGATACTAAAGAGGTATAGGTATATAGGTGTGTATATACATATATGTATATGCATATTTGTATATATATATGTCTATATACACATATTTCTAATTTGAAAAAAGAACTACTCCTTCTTCTCCCTAAACTCCAATGCATGCCCCTCCTCCATATGCCTATAGTTTTTTAATATTTAAATATTTACCTTGGTTTCTGTTATTTTTCCTTCATATACATGTGTATATGTACACATAGATATACATTTATATACACTTCACCTTTGTGTGCCTTCTGAGACTGTTGGGCCTACCTATTTTTATTCTTTTGACAAGATGGATTAGATTATCCATAAACATGACACTGATATAATTCAGAATTTAAATAATACTCAACTGATTTCTCCATTAGGTGCAGTTTTAGTCAATTTCTTGGCTGGAATCAAGAAGAAAAGGATGCCTATGGATAAGGCAACAGTTGAATCTGTAGCAAAGCCTGAATACCTAAGAGAAAGTAATTAACGTATTTATTAAACACAGCATCCTAAATTTATAGGAACCAAATACCAAACGAATTATCCTCTAAGTAACTGTGAAGCTATTTGTGACTTACTTTATGAACCCTGCCATAAAAATCATTTGTGTCCCACCAAATCATTTGCATACAACTGGGCACCCCAAAGTCTCAGAATTACTGCTTAATGTTAGTGTACCAGTTTTTGTCGGAGTCAGGACACACTGGATTCAAACTTTGCTTCTGAAACATTGTAGCTGTGTGACCAATGACATGACTTTTAACTTTTCAGTCTAAAACAAATGACCATCCTGTATCAGTAAAGGGAGTTTCTACACTGAAAGTTCCCTGCATTGATGAAATCAATGGTCTAGACTAACCCCTAACCCCCAAATCAGCTTGTTTGTGTGTGTTCTGGAGTACTACGTCAAAGTGGATAACTTTGTGGATCTCTGGGAAAGTTGGTGTGAAAAGACATGTGTAGGAGTAGGGTGTCTGGGGCAGGCATCTGCCTACAGTTCTTAGTTATGTCCCAAAATTCCCTGTCTATTTAAATAGTCAATATTTTGATGATCCAGTGATGTGTGTAGCATGACGGTGCAAAATCCATCCCGTAGATCTATTTGCCATTCCACACCAAATGTATTAAATTCAGTGAATTAGGACCATGATGTTAGGGAGTATAAACACTGTATTTTAGTGCCTGTGTATAAGGAAAAATAGCTGGATACAACAGAGTGTGAAGCCATAATTGGTGTACTGTCCAACAGTTAGAAGCTTGTTGGTAGATTTGTGGGGATGTGAAAAGGGTAAATAATGGGGCCAACATGCTCTGCTGGTGCTTTCAGCTGAGATTAGTTTTAGCTTTGGCTCTGGTCTCTTCTCCCACCCTATCCCTTCCATGTAGCTATATTGCCAAATCAGGGGAGAGTAATTCAGAGCCCAGAGGAAGGGAAATCTGAATGACACAGTTCATAACCCATCCATACTCTCCTGTACCCAGTCTGTAGGCAAGCACATTAGGGACAAACAGTGGTACGCTTATAAGGGTAAGTGGGCTCATGGCAAATTTCAGTCTTGAATTACATAGCCGAATAGTTTCTCCTTTGAATTATTACTATCTTTTCTTAATTATGGTGTCAGCAGATTGAAGTTGGAGCAAGTGTAGACAAGGCCTGGCAACCTGTTTTATAACCATCACCTGCCTTCATGCCAGACTCCAGTGGTAGCAAAATATGAACATTTTTAGAGGCACTGAAAATAACCTCCTCTCCAAAGTAGATGTCTAGTTTTATGGGGGCCATAGTTTAATCGTTTCAACTGGTGACTGGCTTAATTGCTTTTGGTCTCAGTTGGTGATTTCAACAGTATGGGGAGTTCTAGTAACTTGGATATCAAAAAGTTTAGTGAGTTAGAAGCAAAATTTGAACCAGATGTTTCTAACTCAAAGGCTGATATTCTAAGCACTTTATACTCTCAGTTGCTATTAACTCATAGAAATTCATTTTGCCCTATAAAAAAAAAGGCACTGGATTTGAAGTTAGAGGACATAGATTCAAGTTTACCTATTACTTAATACTTGTGTGACTATGCTTAAGTCATTTAATCTCCCTCAATCTCAGCTCTTTGGTGAAATGAAGGGATAGTTCTAGATGGCCTCTGAGGATCTTTCAAGCTCTGAATCTATGATTCTATGAAATACTATTTTAAATATAAACTATACGGGTGATTTTACATGGCTGTAGCAGAAATGAAGGAGAAGGACATTATGTACAATGGAAAGACCACTGTGTCTAGAGTCAAATGAACCTGGGTTCAAATCCTGTCTCTGACACTACTTATATAACCTTGGGAAAAATCACAACCTCCCTTAGACTAACTTTCCCCATCTATAAAATGAAGAGGTTGGACTAGATACATCTGTGGCCCTTTCTAGCTCTACATGATACTCTTAAGAAAGCAGATCCCAAAATAGATCTACCTTTAGAGCCATTTGGCAGTGCCAACAGCATGGCAATCTCCAAAGACCTTCAACTCTTTGAAAACCAGAAAGCCACATAGTGGAAAGTCACGTGTATAAGCGTAGGTCCCAACATCAACACCTCTCCATGATGCTACCTTTAGAAGTCTGTGACAACATAAACATGAAGTGTGTATCTAATTACATATAGGTTAGGGAAACAGTATGGCCAACTTTCAAGTCAGGAGGACCTGGGTTCAAGTCTTGCGTATGGTACATATTAACCCAGTGACCAAGAGTAAATTGCATAACTGCTTAATGCCCTGGACAACTCTCTAAGACTGCAATTTGCCAGTTAAGGGAGGTTACATACTGAGAGTTGCCTACACAAATGAAATCATAGGCCCAAACCATATACGTGTGTGTGTGTGTGTGTGCATGCATATACATAGGGAGGGTGAGGGAAAGAAATGGAAGAGATATTATTTCACTGTCCCTTAACATGGCAATCCTCAGTACCTATTTTATCATCTAGCTGAAAATCGTAATCATCCAGATAAAGCATTTTCTTTTTTACTGTAATACATTTTTGAAAACGAGTCTGACTTACTTGAAAACAAATTTATTTTCTTTACTGGCCAAGCAAAAAGTCATCATGGAGTGAGTCACTCTATTGAAGTCACCAGTATCTACAGAAATAGTGGTGCTGGGTTTCTTTTATTTCAATTGTAATTGCTGGTTCTGTATTTTGCCAAGATAGACTAGGTTTCCCCATAACCTCATTTCGTTTAATATGAAGTGACACATTGAGTTCTATCCAGGTCCACACAGATGGGATGGAAACACTAGGAGGTACCCAATAAGACACAGTATTTGAATTCTGGATAACCTATGAATAGCTCCGAACTCTATGTAGAGAAGTTATGTCATTTTTTAATAATCATATATAATGAAATTACCTTATTTTATAATATGTTTATATTCATGTGTATATATGTATATATAAAGCTATCATTATATTTCCTATCACTATCATATAGAGAGGATTGTTTTAATATAGCACAAATAGACATCAAACCCTATGAGGTTTGCAGAAGTTTATTTGAAACACCAAATTGATTTCGGCTCATCTTCATTTACAAATTATTTTGTATTGTTGACCTTTTCTCCCTTCCATGTCTCCATCTCATATCGTTGTCCTAGGTCAATAGTCTTAACACATGGATCAATAAGCAATACCCTGTGGTCCCAATCCAGCCTGCCATTTGTTTTTGAACAGCCCACACATATGGGCCATTGTTTGCCAACCCCTGGTCTGAGACTAGATCATATTCTGACACAGAATCAGTAAACTATTTGAATCCCAAGCTCCAACACTAACTACCTGTATGGTATTAAGTAAGTTACTTCCCCTCTCTGAGAATCTATTGCTTTCTCTTTAATATGGGAATCCTAGGATCATTAATGTAAAAGGTAAAGGGACTATAGGGGTTTAAATCCTTCAATTTAAAGATTAAAGACACTGCAGTCTAGAGATCAAATGATTTGTGTAAGGTCATAAACTAAGTTGTAGAGCAAAGGTTCCAGTCTAGATTCTGAATCTAAATCCAACATTTCTGCTGTACCATCCTACTATAAAAAAAAAAAAAGAGGAAGAGGAGGGAAGAAAAAGTGATGGACTGACATTCACATAGAAAAGGTTTGCAAGCACTAGATGTAAATTCTTATTTGATCATCACAACTACCCTGTGAAGTCATACTTAAACGGATTTATGATCTCATTAACGTAGGTATTCCCTTTTATTAAGCAAATTATAACACACCTATGCCTGTGTGACATCTGTACATGAAACTTGAACTCTCTGAACCTCAGCTTTTCAACTATAAAATGTCATTCTTTGCACCTATGCTACTTAACATTGTGCCTGGCTCATAGCAGCACTTCAGTAAATGCTTTTTGGCTTATTGATAAGTAATCTTGTATTTTGAACCGATCAGTAAGATTTGTGCTGTAAGTGAAGTTTAGATTAGGTGATCTCCAAGGTTCCTTTGAACTCTGAGATTCCAGTTCTTTCATAGGAACTAAAAATCACAAAAAGTTTCGCTAAATTCATGCATGTGTATTTCTAACAGGTTATCAAGGTGCCTTTAAAAGAATTTGGAGTAGAACTCAGAATATTAGAGCTACAAGGCACCTTGGAGAACAACTATCCCAATACACTCTCATTTTGTAGATAAGTAAGGCTCCTTCAGATAGAGAGTGAGTAAATGCCAGAACCAGGACAGGAATCCAGATCCTCCACCTCCATAAGCACCTCTTTTCATTATCCAATGATCTTTTTTTGATTAGAGATGTCAGCACTAGTGAAGTGAAGAGGAATTAAGAGCTGGATTCTAGTCCAGGTTCTTGAGAGAAACATCAATGGCAAGTCAAAAAAGACAATTTGGCAAAACATGGCACTTACTGGGAAAAAAGTGAGGACCAACCGGGAACAAAACCAGGATCTCGGCTAAACCATAACAGGGCCATTATGATGAAGAGGATCAAGGTTACAATTTCTTGAAACCTGTTGATAAAGTCCAATATAATCAGCACTTATTTGGCTTACTTGTAACATGTACACACTGCTCCTGAGTTATCATCAGGTTTTGTGGTATTCTCAAAAAAAGTTAAAAACACTGGAAGAGAGGGCTTTTGTTGTTATTCATCAACCTAGTTAAACTCTAGAAATGAAAACCCCATAAGGGCACAGACTTTGTCTGAAAATGCTCCCTCATAGTAAGTGCTTAATAAATAGTTGTTGAAATGATCAGGGTCTGCGTACCTAAGTCAGCACATTGTCAGTTCACCTTTTAGTTAAGATCTATAATTTCACTGGTGTCAGGAATTCCTGAGTAGCTACACCCTCTATCAGAGCTGACTTGAAACTTTGCTATAGTTGTCTTTTCAGTGGTTCTCAAAGTGTGGTCCAGGGACCTCTTGAGGTTCCCTTTCTGGGGATCTTTGAGGTAAAAACTATCTTCCTAACAATACTAACATGTTTTAATTTCTAACATGGTGGTTTTGTTAAGTCATTTTCAGTTGTGTCCAACTCTTTGTGACCCTTTTTTGGGGGTTTTCTTGGCAAAGATACTGAAGTGGTTTGCCATTTCCTTCTCCAGCTAATTTTATAGATGAGGAAACTGAGGCAAACAGGACTAAGTAACTTGCCCTAGGGTCACAGAGCTGGTAAGTGTCTGAGGCCAGATTTGAACTCAGGAAGATGAGTCTTCCTGACTCTAGGCCTGGCTCTCTAACCACTGCACCACTTAGCTGCTTTCTAATATGGTAAATATCTATGTCTATATATCTATATCTATAGACAAATCTAGATATATAGATACATAACCCCACATAAAACAAGAGTTTTAGAGGGCAGGAACCTCAATAACTTTAAAGAATGTAAATGGATCCTGAGACAAACAAGTTAGAGAACCACTTTGCTAACATAGTCTTAGAGAGCTGCGTGAGTCACTGAGAGGTTATGATTTGCCCAAGTCTTCATGATTCGAAGGCCATTCTTCCACCCAAGTTTTCATCCTTAGCTTTATTCTATCGTGGACTCTTTGTTATTCTAGTGAAGCCTATGGACTCCTCAGAATGGTGTTTTAAATTATGTAAAATAAAATACTTCAGACAAAAAGTAAACCGATTATATCGAAATAGAATTTGTTTTATAAAAGTTTGCAGACCCCTGGTTAAGAGAGGTTTTCTATATGCCTCTTTTAAGTGCATATAGAAATACATCCTTGCAGGCATACATACACACCATGAGTTTCTTTTCTTTCCTGCTACATAAGCAATAACACATCTTACCTCATTGGCCCAAGTTTGTGGTACTCTTCCTTAATAACATTAGCACAGGCTTGTTCTTTCACTGTTTTGGTCTTGCCACACTTGAACATTTCTTTTAAACTGGAATTAAAGAATTATTTTTTAAAGCACCAACAAAACAAGGACAGGGTTCGTTTGCCCGTACCTCTCTCATCTGAAAACAACTGCATGAGCTTTGTAAAATAAGACCTGACTTCTCTGTTACTGATAGAAGAAAGTCCATGTCGTCCCCACTAAATCACCCCTCCACTGACCTCTCATCTATCTACAAGGCCCACTTCCAATCCTAGCTCCTCTGTGAAGCCTTCCTTGATCACTGTGAAACATTTTCTTTCTTAATGAATTTTTTTGGACAATAAGCACCTTGTTCTATACTTTCTAGTTTTCTAATTTGGTATTTTATTGTGGATTGCTTGTCCCTAATTGCTTCCTGTGTACATATGTCTTACCACTGAAGCATGACTGTAAAGTCCTCAAGGGCAGGGATTTCTTCGTAAACTTTTTATTCCCTAGACCATATTACTTGACATGATGCTGCAATGTATCTAGAGGGGACAGTCCATTGTTTGATTTATTGTTCCCTAGACCAGATAGAAGGGAGGGAAATAAGCATTTATATAGCACCTATTACAAGTCAGGCACTGTGCTAAGTGTTTTACAAATATTATCTCATTTGATCCTCACAACAACCCTGAAAAGTAGGTACTGTTATTATCCCTATTTTATAGCTGAGGAAACTGAGGCAAGCAGCCATTAAGTGACTAGCCTAGAGTCATACAGCTACTAAGTATCTGAGGTTGGATTTGGTCTATCAGGCATTCTTGACCCTAGACCACCTAGCTGGACCTTAACATGATGATACAAAGTACACAGATGGCATAGGCCATACTTATTTGATAAATACAACAGCAATCGTGCTGAATTAACCAGTCCACATTCTACTACAGAGTTGTTCTGCTCCACCAACCTTGTCCAAAACATGGTAAACTCTCAAATCCAGTGAATATGCCCCCAGAGCATCAACACAAATTAAAGTTTCATCCCATAAGCTAGTCAGGAAAAAAGGTGTATCCTAACAGATAAAGTTCGACCCTGATTAACCTCAAAAGCAACACCACTACTAGGTCTGTACACCAAAATTCAAAATCAAACAAAGAACAGAAGAATCTCTATGAACAAAAATACTTACAGCAGCTCTTTTCATGGTAGTCCACAATGGGAAACTAAGGAAGAATAATCTAATTTGGGAATGGCTAAACCATTGGACTTTGGGTGCAGCCTTTTGACTGAGTCCAAGTTTTACAGCACAAATCCTTTTATTAAGGGGATTTGTTCTGAAGTTTGGATTCAGTCAAAGGGCCTCACTTGAGACCTAGAGGGCCACATGTGACTTTGAGGCCGCAGGTTCCCCACCCCTGGGCTTAACAAATTGTAGTCTATGGATTTAATGAAACCTTGTTGTGCTATAAGCAATGATGAAATGGACAAGTTGAGGGGAAAGTGGTAAGAACTTTTGTGAAGTGATGCAGAGCAAACATAACTAGGAGAACAATTTACACAATGATAACAATATTATGGAGAAAAGCAATTTTGAAAAACTCCAGAACTGTGATCAACACAATGATAAAGCACAAATCCAAAAGAATGGAGATGAAATATACCACTCATCTTCCAACAGAGAAGTGATGAACTTAACATAGAAAAAGAGACATACATTTTCAGACGTGGCTAATGTGGGAATTTATTTTGATGGATTACGTAGATTAGTATTGAAGAATTTACTTTACAGGGTTTAAAAAATTAATTGGGTGGGTGTAGTGGAAATAATTGATTAATAAAAATACTTGCTAGTTGAAGAAAAGGTTTGAAATTACTGTACAAAAATAAAAAGTGTTCCTATTGTATTTTATCTGAAAACACCCCATCCTATGAGGTCTCAATCACAGTATCTCTTGGTCTTAGCTCCTACCCATTTTGTCCCTAATAATAATGTGTCCTATGGGGCAAGGTGATTGGTGAGGCAATGATCAGAAGACTAGGGAGTAAAGAGATCACTTACTCTACACTCCTTCCAATTTCCAACATATTACCCCTTCCAAAAAACAAAAAAAGAGTCTTTAAACCACAATTAGGGGGCATAATTAACTATGGAGTTGCTTTTGATTAAAAACCATTTAGGAGATGTTGAATTTTTATTATTATAAATAATGCAAGTAATATATAGCATGTCATCATGAAGATGAGCCTGTCACGTGGCACAACTGAGAGATAATCAATGAATGGCCATTGTATTCTGTTGGTATTCACACGATACCGAGAGACCTAGAAGAAGGCCCCTTGGCAACTTGGATGAACCACCCTGTGGAGGATTTATGGGAGGAACTGGAGAAAGGTTGTGCAGGATAAACAGATATGAATGGATTTGTATCATTGCACAGAGTACCTATGTCTACTAAATCACAAATGTATTAAAAGAGTGAAGTTAAATCAGTAACAAAAAATTGTATGTTGTCATATGACAAATACTAATATTACTAGAAAACAATCCATAGACCACTTGAAAAGACAACTTATGATAAACCTCACTTTGATATTCACATCTCTGTAGGGAAAATAAAGCTAAAAAACAACAAAGCATTCTTCCTGTGAACAGTTATCCAAATATGAGACTGAGCATGAACCTTGTTGCTTTATTCTGGGGCAACACAGAGTTAAGTCAAAAACCAGGTTGGCTCTCCTGAAAATGAAGGTTAATGCCTTCACAAAGGAACTGATGAAGCAAATGACAATACATCAGGCTCTCCATTTAAATAACTTCAGTGACACTGATGAATGAGATTCCCTTCCCAAATATGTTTGGGTCATTTATAATGGGTGAGTTAACTATGTTAACAGCCAACCCACTAATCAGGATGTATGGTACCTTGCCAAAAGAGCAGCTTATCATTTCTGTTTTTCGATCTTTTGCCTCTGGAGGTGAGTACCCTGCCAGGCTGAAAAGGACACTGAAAAATTAGCTTAAGAATGAAACTGTGCAGCATCTAACCAATAGTGGACAGTGAGGGGAACTATTTAAACATGCCACTGATCATGATTTATGGACTTTAATTTATGTGCTTCATAGGACATTTTTTTACTCCATAACAGTGAACATGTTTCAATACATCTGCTCTTTAGCTCTTCTTCATTTCCCCTCCTAGCACTACGTTATTTTTAAATGACAACAATTGCATTCATATTTTGTAAAGTTGTCGATTGCCATACCAAACATATGAAACTATTGTGGCTCATAGGTGAGATACATTCACTCCTGAATTAGGATTCTTATTCCATCTACCTCTTATAACACTTACTCTGAAATTATATAGGCTCACCAAAGAACCAGATTTCCAATAGAGCCATTTAGTATGTAGATGTCCTCTCCCTGCTGTTGCTCACCTACTGATCTCAGTGACATGCCACACATTTGCTTCCTTGGGGGAGGTTGCTACATACTGTGTACACAATCTGGACAAATACATTTTTAATTTTTCCAGCGCTATCCCCCATCCTCTGATAGAAATTGGCAGCTCCGGAAAGAACCCAGGAAGGGGAGGAGGGAAAGAAGAATGTCAGCAGGCAGGCAAGCCATGAAAATCTGGGCAAGGGGCTGCCTTGTGCCAAGGCCTTTGTGAACACAACACACCAAACCTGTTTGCAAAAAATATTGCTACACACCAATGGGCAGCCCCTACAATCAAGTTCCTACACTTCTGGTTTAGGGTATCATATGCCATTTTATCGATGAGCCTTGAAATAATTTGAATATAATACTATCCTCAAAATAATTTTAAATGTTAATTCACTTAAAATAATTTATGAAAGTGTAGGATGGTTATTTTTTTTTTCTTTTACTAAAAATATGTTTACAACTTAGGTCTTTCTGAAAAAAGATTCCTCATTATATATTAAACAGGAAAAACTCTGATCCATTTAATAGAGCTTGAAGTTCTCCCTATGTTAAACTCAGTGTGTTTGATGTTATATTGGGTTCCTTTAAAAATCTTTTTTCCCCAGGAATTATGGAATGGCTTATCTTGGGAAGTAGTGAGCTCCCCACTCAATGGAAGTGAGGAAGTCTTCAAGCAAAAGTGATCACTTATTAAGTATGTTGTTGAGGGGATTTTTGCTTAAATATAGGTGGAGCCAAACAGCCTGGAGGTCCCTTAAAACTGTATCATGCTGTGACTCTTATCATAATTAGCCATCCTACCTTATTCATAAGTAATATATATTCAGTTCTTCTTATATTGAAATGATATGCCAAGTGGGAGGCTGACACAGCATACATAGCATATTTCCTACCTAATTTTCCAGAAACATAATATATGACATATTATTAAATTAATTTCACATATAACAAACAGAATTAAAAATTCTCTTAACTTTTTGAATTCACATATAACAAACAGAATTAAAAATTCTCTTAACTTTTTGAAATGACACTATGTCTAGTTTCATAATGTCAAGACAAAGTAGATGTATGCTTAAACCTCACTATAATAAATGGTAATGCTATGAGACTGCTTTATAGAAAAGAACAGCATATAAAGAGGGTATTTGGTTATTTTGATAAAAAAAATATTTTTTAAGATGAGGTCCAAGATTAACTGTACTTAGACCAAAATGCACTGTATAGTAAATAGTGTTAATGCAAGATTCCTGTGTATGTTTACGGTGTACATGCTTTGTAGGTGATTCATTCACTTTAGTTATGCCATAAATAGCAAATGTTAACTTACTTGAAACCAAGGAAAAACCACTGAAGCCAGATCCAGGTCAAGATTAGAAGAACAATTGCAACAGGAAAGGAAAGCAAAAACCAAGATCCAAAATTGATGCACTGACATTCTGGGTAGCGTCTGGGGGGAAAAAAGGCATATGCAAGATTAACATCATAAGAGAAACAAATGTGAAATCTCAAGGATTAATACCAGCGAACAGCTGGTCTACTATTTTCTCCTTTGTTGATAGCCAAGGGAAGCCCTTTTGTCCCTTAGACTACCACTGAGAATAGCCAGACACAAAATTATTGCTATGCCCCAGTAAAATTGGGTTTTTATAGGATTTGATTTTTGTATCTGTACCGAAGATTGTGAGAACAGCTCCCATAGTATATGCTTGGAACTGGAGATGAATGAGTGGAGGAAATAAAACAGTAAGAGGAGATTTGAGGAGCTACTTATACAGGATGCCTGTCCTCATTAGACAACTAACATCTAGTTAAACTTTAGCTACAAACAGATCCTGGGGAGTTTTATTCATATTATCCATTATCCCTTCTTTTATCCCCTTTGTCCTCTTCCTTTCTCTTCACTTGTCCATAGTAGCAACTTCCACTGTCCTGTCAAGCAAAAGTCAAACTCTTTCTTTTATTTCTCTCCAGAATAACTGGAGAAGAGAACACAGAAATTATATATACATGTCAGTAGATAAACAGATATGCTTATACATATATATGTGTATATATATATATATATATATATACACGCACACATATATATTTATGTATACATATGTATATATAATACACATATATACAAATATACACACATATGCCTGTGTGTGTGCATATGTATTTATTCAGTTGTTTTTCAGTTATGTCTGACTCTTTCTTTATGACTCCATCTGGGGTTTTCTTGAAAAAGATACTAGAGTAGTTTTGACATTTCCTTCTCCAGCTCATTTTACAAATAAGGAACTGAGGCTAGTACGGTTAAGTGACTTGCCCAGGAGCACAGTCTGAGGCCAGACTGGAACTCAAGAAGATGAGTCTTACCTGACCCCAAGCCCAGAACTCTATCCATTGTGCTACCTAGCTGCCCAATGTATCTGTATATGCCAATATATACATGCATACATACACACATATGAATACACACATGTGAACACATACCTATACAGGGATACATCTATGCACACTCATGTATAGATACTTATGAAAACACATGTATGCATATCAAAATATATATATACAAGCATGCACGCATGTATAATTTCTGCATTTCACTGGTAACTTCATATCCATTGTCTCAAAGAAAAGATTCATAACAATAAATATAACTTCCTATTATTACTCTGTTTTATAGAGCTAGGAAGATAAGTGTTAGGATATCTGTAAAATTCATCTTTTTATGAAGCCTTTTAACTATAAATTAAAGAACCTAAAACTTTATTTAGATCTAATATCTCTTCATCTCTTGTGGGCTGGTCCCCACATAGTACAAAAAACTTGAGACCTAAAGATAAGGAATTAGGAACTCTAGATTCCTACTTTTTCCAGCTGTTTTCTATGCATTTATGAGAAAGTCATTTATCTCTGGAATCAAGACTTCTCATTAAAAAATGATTAGAGAAGTCAGGTACCAAGATGGTAGATTGGAGGCAAACCAGCTGAATTCTCTAAACATTTCCCTCCAAACAACTTCAATTGTTTTAAATGTTGGAGTTGGAGTTAAATGTTGGAGTAGCAATAATAACAAAAGGTCAGGGTGAAACATTTTTCTAGCCTACAAAAACTTAGGTCAGCAAGAGAAGTTTTTGACACCAGGATGGAAGCCTGTTTGGAGGACACATGTGGAAGCATCAACAATGACTGCAGCAGCAGCTTTAGGAGCTCTTGGCCTAGAGATGGCAAAGGAGTTGGCCAACTGGTCAGAAAGGGATTACAGGACACCCTTTGTTGGCACTAGTTACATCTGGCACTTATTGGCAACTCTACTGCCCACATTCAGTTCTGGGTCACAGTTCCATGACAGAGAAGAACACTGGGGGGTCAGTCACAAGGGAGCAGAGGCCCTGGTCACAGTTCCAAGGCAAAGAGAATGCTAGCACTTGTGACTGCAGGGGACCAGAGGCCCTTCCTGGGTAAAGACTAGAATGCAGATCAAGAGAGCAGTGACCATACCTCTCCCAGATTGACATCACACTGGAAGCACCAAAAACTTGCAGACCCTCAGAACTATCTCTGAAAACAGCAGCAAGAAAAAGCCTGAAACTTGGCACAGTGCCTCCTAATGCCAAGTGAGAAGATCCCTTTAACATAAAGTTCATAGTGAAGAAATAGACTGAGAAAATGAGTAAACAAAAACAACAAAAGAATTTGACAGTAAAAAGCTGTCAGGGAAGACCAAGACATAAACTCAGAAGAAGACAACAATGCAAAAAAAATGGCTACAAAAAAGCCTCATAGAAAAATGCTGATTGGACCCAAGGCCAACAAGAATTCCTGGAAGAGTTAAAGAAAGAGATAGGAGTGGTAGAAGAAAAATTGGGAAAAGAAATGAGTAATGCAAGAAAATTGTAAAAAGATAATTAACAGCTTAGGAAAAGAGGCAAAAAAATACTGAAGAAAATAACACCTAAAAAACAGAATTGACCTAATGCTAAAAGAGACTCAAAAATTCACTAGAGAAAAAAATTCCTTAAAAAACAAAATTGGCAAATGGGAAGAGACTTACAAAACTCACTGAAGAAAATAATTCCTTGGAGCAGCTAGGTGGAGCAGTGGATAGAGCACCAACCCTGGAGTCAGGAGGACCTGAGTTCAAATCCAGCTAAGACACTTGGCACTTACTAGCTATGTGACCCTGGGCAAGTCTTGTAACCCCATTGCCTAGCCAAAAATAAAAAAAAAAAAACAGAAAATAATTCCTTAAAAATTAGAATTGGACAAGTGGAAGCTAATGACTCCATAAGACATCAAGAAACAATAAAACAAAGTAAAAAATGAGAAAAAAAACAAAAATAAAATATTTCATTAGAAAAACAATTGACTTTGAAAATAGATAAAAGAGATAATTTAAGAATTATTGGATTTCCTGAAAGCCGGGATCAAAGAAAGAGCCTAGACATCATATTTCAAGACATTGCCCTGGTAAAATAGAAATTGAAAGAATCCACTGATCACCTCCTGAAAAAGATCCCAAAATGAAAACTCAGAGGAATATTATAGTCAAACTCCTGAGATCTCAGGTCAAAAAGAAACTATTGTAAGTATCCAGAAAGAAACAATTCAAATATTGTGGAGCCACAGTCAGGATCACAAAAGATTTCATGGCTTCTATATTAAGAGAGTAGAGAGCTTTGGAATATGATATTCTGGAAGACAAAGTAGCTAAGATTACAATCAGGCAAAACCTAGCCAGAAAAAACTAAAACTAAGTATAATCCTTCAGGGGGAGAAATGAATATTTAATGAAATAGAGGACTTCTAAGAATTCCTGATGAAAGGACTAAAGTTGAATAGAAAATGTGATATTTAAACACAAAACTCAAGAGAAGCATAAGAAGGTAAACATAAAAGAATAATCATAGGGGTCTCATTGTTAGGGCAGTTAAAAAGAGTTTACATAGACAGGGGGCATAGGTGTGAATCAGTTATGTCAGAATGATCTCCAAAAAATGAAGGAATGAAAAAGAGGGATGTACTGGGAGAAGGGGGAAGGGAGAGGTAGGATGGGGAAATTTTTCTCGCATAAAAGAGGCATACAAAACAGAGCTTTTATAGTGGAAGGGAAAATGGAGGTGAGGGGTAGAGGGTAATGCTTGAAACTCACTCTCATTGGAATTGGCTCAAAGAGGGAAGAATATTTAAATACACTCTGGTAAATATAGAAATGTAATTTACCCAACTGGGAAATGGGAGGAGAAGGGAATAAGAGGGGGGAGTGGTAAAGGGGAGGACAGATTAAGGGAAGGAATGGCTAGAAGCAAAATAGACTTTTGAGAAGGGACAAGATAAAAAGAGACAAAGAAGAAAATGGGATGGAGGGAAATACACAGTTACTAATCATAACTGTGAATGTGAATGGGATGAGCTCACTCATAAAACAGAAGTGGATAGCAGAATGGATTAGAAATCAGAATCCAACGATATTTTGTTTGCAAGAGGAACACTTGAACCAGAAAGACATACATAGAGTTAAAATAAAGAGCTGGAGCAGAATCTGATATTTATTAGAATCAAATATTTGACTTCAGCTAAACTTTAAAAAAGGCAGGACTAATAATCATGATCTCAGACAAAGCAAATGCAAAAGTAGACCTAATTAAAAGGGATACTTAGGGAAACTGCATTTTGCTAAAAGGTACCATAGACAATGAAGTACTATCAAAATTTTTACAGCAAGTTTTTCTGATAAAGGTCTCATTTCTCAAATATGTACTGACTATAGAACTGAGTCAAACCTATAAAAATAGAAGCCCAATTGACAAATGGTCAAAGGATATAAACAGTCAGTTTTCAGAAGAAATCAATGTTATCTATAGTTGCATGAACCAATCCTCTAAATCACTATTGGTTAGAGAAAGGCAAATTAAAACAGCTATGAGGTACTATCTCACACCTATCAGAAATAACAAAGGCTCGAGGGTAAAATTAGTTACACTAATGAACTGTTGGTAGAGTAATGAACTGGTCCCATCATTCTGGAGAACAGTCAGGAATGAGGCCCAAAAGGCTATAACACTGTGCACACCCAGTACCAGGTCTGTGTCCCAAAGAGATCAAAGAAAAAGGAGAAGGATCTTTATGTACAAAAATATCTATAGCAACTCTTTTTATAGTGGCAAAGAATTGGAAATCGAGACGATAGTCATCCATTGGGGAATGACTGAACGAGCTGTGGCATACGATTGTGACAGAATACTATTGTGCTGTGAGAAATGACAGGGGGAGTGGGTTCAGAAAAAAACATGGCAAGAACTACACGAACTGATGCAAAGTGAAATGAGAGCTGGGAGATCATTGTGCACAGTAACAACAATTTATAATGATGGTCAGCTGTGTGAAAGACTTGACTGCTCTCATCAGTATAATGATCCAAGACAATTCCAAAGGACACATGATAAAAAAAAAAAT